CCCTCTCTCTCTCCCTCTCTCTCTCCCTCTCTCTCTCTCTCTCTCTCTCTCTCTCTCTCTCTCTCTCTCTCTCTCTCTTTCACACGCACGCACACACACAAACACATATATTGGTTTCCCTGCACACATGGGTAGCAACCTCCCTGAACATACATGCCAACTCCAAGGAGAATGCCCAGCTAAGGGCATACCATGGTCCTGTGGAAGCTGGGCCTGCTGCTATGCCAAGAGACCTCCTTTGAGCATGACAGGTTAATGAGAGATGGCTCTACTGTGGGGTTGTCTTGGCCTTTCCAGAGAGGAGCTCTCAAGAGAGCATTCTTTTCCACAGATGTCAAAATACACATCAAAAGTTGGAAGAGGCACCGACAATTCCAAGCCGGACATCCCTAATAGCCTAAAAACAGCAACAGGACAGAAATCGAGAGGAAACCGAGGAGGACACACTCGCTATTTTCACAAGGAGAGTTAACACATATGACTTCCCCGGGGATCCACAGAGCAGAAGACTGGCATGATTTGCCATCAGTCCCAAGGCTTGCTCTACACTCTACAGAACTCCATGGCGATCCAGCCATTTTCCCCTTTTGTCTGTGGTGGGAACGCTACACCAGCTATACTTGGACAAGCAGCACTTTGAGGTTTACCCAGAGAGAGGAGAAATGCCATCATGCCTGGATTCCTAGTGAAGGGCTAATGCTACATACAGTGGGGCGGGGCAGACCCAGAGGACGGCCCTGGGCCCTGGAAAGGCTCTACCCTAGGAAGCCCCACCTGCTTTGGTTGTCACTTTTAGGAGGTAGCCTTCCAGATCAATATGGAAGTGAGGAGTCTCACAGGGCAGTGCTATCCGGGTACCGTTCCACTTGACCGTGAGATGCTGCTGGAGGCTAACTGTGCCGCCGCCAACCGCGAGGTCCACAGCCTTGGTCCAAGAGAAGGACCGAGTCCGCCGGGCATCATTCTTCACCAGCACCTGGAAGGGTGAGGCAGAGGAGGAGCAGTCTTTTGTCAAAACGTACTGACATGTTCCCTGAAAGTTAAATGTCCGTCCGTCAAAAGTGTTGTAGTGGGGATCTCCAAATACAGTGCAAACGCCGGGCTCTGCAGGTGAGTAAGAAACAAAAGCAGGATAAAAACTAAATGAAGTATTTTTGTTTTCAAGTAATCTCAGAGATCATAGTAATGAAAATGGATGGGGAGAGCTACTGGTCAAGAAACTGACAGCCTCTGACACAGAGGGATTTTTTTTTTTTAACTCAAAAGAAAACGATCGTTGTTTTATTATCATAGCTCTGGAGCTGGGACACTGGGGACAATCTGGTTCAATCCTCTAATTTTACAGATGAGGAAACTGAGACCCCAAAAGGAGTTGTTACTTAGAATCATAGAATCATAGCTGAAGAATTAGATGGCACCATGAAAACCATCTAGTTCATCAACCTCAATTTATAGATGGGGGATACCAAGGCCCAGAAATAAGTTAAGTGGCTTAGAATTATAGGATCATAGATTTGGAGCTGAAAGGGGCCTTAGAGACCAACACTGATTCCAACCCCCTCATTCTGACCCAGAGAGAATATTAAGCTGAAGGGCGAGGATCTGAACCCAGGTCCTGTGACTAAACCCTGTGTCCTTAATGGCTTGTCCCAAACAAGTTCTATTCTTCCAGTTAGTTCCAAATCAGAGGTGGTTTGGTGTGTATGTGTGTGTGTGTGTGCACTTGCGTGCATGCGTGCGTGCGTGCATGTGTGGTCTTTTTTCAGTTGACTGATATTTTTGATGTCTTTCCCAATAACCTCTCTTGTTTATACACTTTCCATACTCAGACTATCTTAATATAGGAAACATAGACATTGAACTAGGATCTGTTTATCAACAGAGCTGACCTATCTATCCGGCTTCCTAAGCCACCAGACTAGCTAGGCAAGACAACAAAAAGAGGGGGAAAAAAAGAAATGAGTGGCTAGAGGAGGGGGCCTCAGCATTATTTCCACTTAGGTAATTTGGGCACGTTCACCATGGAAGGATGGAATCATGTGAATGATAGAGGAGCGATCTTTTTGCAACAGTACAAAGACAATGGGCTGTTTCCCGAGGTTTTCTCTAAGCTGCTTCCTGTTCCTTTTGAAGATTCTTCTACCCGTGAACTAAGTTTCTCTCCTGGCAGAAACCAAAACACTGAGAAAAGTTACTCTTTTCCAAACACCCAGATCTCTTTAGCAAAAAGAACTCACTGCCACTCTCTCGATGTGGTAAAAGCTGAATTTCAATCAAGGCAAGCCTGGACCTGTCAGAAATTTCAGGAATTTTAGTTTGCCGTTGGAAGGCAGTCCTGCTTTGGTCACATAATGCACAGCAGTAAAGTGCTAGGTTCATGGTCACTGGATCTGACTTGGAGGAGGCTCAAAAGGGGAGCCTGGGGAGAAGGGGGGAGGGATTAAGAGTAATTCAGTGGAAAGAGCACGGTCTACGGCTCAGAGGACCCCGGTTCAAATCTTGCCTCTGACACTCCCTGTGTGACCTGGGACAAGTAATTTTACCTATCTGGACCTCAATTTCCTCCTCTGAAATATGAGGGAGCTGGCCTAGATGATGTCTGAGGTTCCCTTCAGCTCTAATTCTATGACCCCAAGTAAAGTTCTCAATGCTGGACATCTGGCAGTTTTCTGCATTGATTGCCCCAACCTCACTGAAATGAGGGGGCTGCTTCGGGTGACAAGGAGGGTCCCTTCTGGTTCTAAGTCTGTGATCCTGTAACAGGACCTTCCATTTTCCCATCTGTAAAATGTAGGAATTACTTACACAAGGGACCCCACAGAGTCAGCACGAGGTCAGCGCTTTATAACACGTGAAGCCTGAACAAATGTGTGTAATTATTACAGTTCAGAAAAGGAGCCAGCTGTCATTGCTTAAACTTTATCTTCCTCCTGTTGTCTTTTTATCTTTGCTTTCTAGGCAGCAAAGGATGACTGATGAGGACATCATAGATAAGAATTAGCCCAAACAATGATAAGATCTGAGCTCCTCAATCAAAAGAGCCATTTGTTTTCTGTACAGGCAAAAGTCAAGAATCAAAGGGAGTCGTCCATAGACATTTTGGGCCTGTCTTCTTCTCTTTACCTAAGCAAATGGTTAAGACTCAAGACGTGGGGAAGAAGCCCTTTGGAGACCTGCCACCCTAGCTGATAGCTGGGACAGGATGGAAAGGAAATGTTTGCTTTTCATTTCCAATGTGTTATATAAAGAGATGCTGTCTTATGTTATATCACATTGGATCATACCATATGTCAACTTGCTCAACTGCAGTAATATATGTACGTATATACAGACACACATTTGGGATTTCAGAAGTTAAAATCTCATCTACAATATGTTTTCTTTGTAAAGATGTCACTTTTAGAATAAGCTTTAAAAAAGAAAAGAAGGGAGGAAGGATGCATGGTAGAAAGAGAACTAGACTTGGATTTGGAAGGCCTGATTGGTGGGTTCAAGTTAATAACTGAATGACATTGAACAAGTCACTAAATCTCTCTCTACAGTTACCTCATCTGTAAAATGAGGAGGATTTAGACTCCATGTTCCCTTCCAGCTCCAGAGTTATGACCCTAGATGTGACCTTCAACAAGTACCTTCACTTACCCGGGCCTCAGTTTCACCATTTGAAAAATGAGGTGTTTGACTAGATGGTCTCCAAGGTCCCTTCCAATATCTATAAGCCTATGATGGAGTAACCTGAGCTGTCTGGATTAGTTTGAATCTATAAATGCTTCCTCACAAAAGAAAAAAAATACACTATAATATATATGATTTCAGAAAGAAATAATCAGATGTATTTTAACAAGGCACCTACAGTACAGGAATTCCCCTCCCAATTTTGCTCTTGTCCTGTACTTTTGCCAATTTCACCCCCTGTATTGTTTTCCATTTCTCCTCTCCTCCTAGGTATTTATCACCCATTATAAACGGAGAGTTGGAAAAGACCTGGAGACCACCAAGTCCAATTTCCTCATTTTACAAATGAGAAAACTGAGGTCCAGAGAGTGTAAGTGATTTGTCCAAAGTCATAGAGCTACTAAGTTTTTCTTTGGCAGGATTTGAACTGTGACCTTCCTGACTCCACATCCAATCAATGGGTTGACTGGCTTATTAAGTGACTACTGAGTCCAGGACACTGCAACCCCAGAGGTCTCAACTCAAACCCATTTAAGGGGTAATTTACCCAATTAGGGGAAACTTTTCTAGTCCCATCTCCAAAACATAGATTTCCTTATGTCCCACTCTATGTAAATCTTTGACTGACATCCAGCTGTTGCCTTCTGGCCAGGGACAGTAAGTCTCTTTATGTTTTAGTCAGTTGTCAAGACTTTGGAGTGGTGTCAAGAGCTAGGGTTTGAGCCCACTTCAAAGAGTCAAGGTTCCTGACCTTCCCCAGCTCAGAAAGGAAATCCAGAACCTCCCCAAACTTCCCAAGTCAGAACTAACCTTGGTAGACCCAGAGGGCAGGCCTGGGGGTGGGATGGGGAGAAGAGGGAGGGAAGAAAATAAATACTCTTGAGGAAATTCTTTCTTAACTAATTAAAGAAGCTAAGTAAACCTTAACTTTCTGAAAAGAATTATTACCTTTTTTTTGAAATTTCCTTATATTCTATATCCCTCCTTTTGGAAGAAAGGTGGAGGACAATGGATGCAGAATGCTTCATACACTTTGCTGATTAGTTTTGCTTAGTTTTTTTTTTTTTGTTACAAAGAAGAGTTCAAAGTGGGGTATATAGGAATAAATGACATTAGTATATTTTTTTTCAAATGTATCAATCAAAACAAATAACTAGATAAACAAATAACTAAATGTTATTTTGTGTGAATACATATGTGTGAGTATGTTTTCTAAAGAACTAATCATACCCACTCCCCCTTCCCCCACCCCCCCCCCAAAAAAAAAAAAAAAGATTAACATCTCCAGGTATCCTGGACTGAACTGGAATGTGACAAAAACTCTAGGCAAGAATGAGAATGATGAATGAAGAACCCAAGACCTTAAGTATTGGTTTACCGACTTTGTGATATGTTATTTTTGTTCATAAATATGTAATGTAAAAATGTTTGCCTTATGTACCAACTTAAATAATGTGCATTCCTTTTAAAAGAAAAAGAACAAAGATGGTACTCTCACGCTTTTTATGCGGCAAAGAGGATCTTGATCCTAAAATTATTAAGGCTAAGTTAGAGAAAGAAAACTTTTAGGTTAGTATCACTAATGGATATTAACATGAAAATAGAAACAAAAAAATTGGCAAATAGAAAAAAAATTCAGTCCATAAGGCCATACTTTTGTCTATACTGGTAGCAGTTGACATTCTTACTTAATGTTTCTAGTCAAAAGTAAGAGCTGCAAAGGTCCCCCAGAAGCAGAAAAATGTCCTTAGAAACTAGAAGGGAAAAGTGAGCCATTTAGGACCATAAAAACTTGAGAGAAGTCCTATGAAAGATGGTAACAACAGCTGATCATAAGGGAGAATTACAGGCATAAGGATCACACCAAAAGGTACAGAAAACTCAATGTCTATAAAGACATTGTTTACAGAAAGACAATTATGAATTGACATTAGGGTTCAGTTTTTCTTCAATGGTTCTGCCTTCAGGACTTTGGGAGGAAGATCACCAAAACTTTTCCTAATTTTAGGTAGAGAAGGCAGAGCAAATGTTTTCTTCTGCCATTAGGATGTGAGCTTTCAGTTTTATCTTTGTGACCGATATATTAGGCTTGGTAAAATGCAGGTTAAACTGAATTATACTTCATTATTTTGAAAAACTCATCTTCCTACCCCAAATATTTAAATGCTTTCTTGGCATCTAAAGATCTGCCTACTATATGTGAGGAGAGAAAAGAACATGCATGTTAGCATAATGATTAAAAGAAAAAAAGTTTATGGCACAAAATATGCTTATCTATGTGTGCATGGAGGAGTGAAAGAGACAGACAGAGAGCAAGACAAGGAAAGGGAGGGGGGAGGGAGGAAGAGAAAGACAGGGACAGAGACAGAAGGAAAAAGGAGCAGGAACAAGGAGAGAGACAGACAGCTATATAATGCTTAGGAGGGGGA